AGTTTATGTGTATTTTGTAATCTTCCTTCACCCCCCCCCCTAAACTTTCGTTAAAAACGAGCATGATCTTTTTAGTTTTAAGCATTTCGAATTACTCATACTGGTGATTCTTTCAGTGATCGATTGTTCCACCTCATTTGATATCATCCAGATGGCATCCCGCGTCATAATCAAATTGTACGACTTGAACGCGTCCAGTTTTTCGGGCATTTTGCAAAGTCTTCCCCGTTCCAGTCAGGACCGAGCCTCTGAAATTCTCAAGACCTACCAGAAAACCACTACTGGTGGCGGTCGGATGGACAGCAATCTATCCAGTTCATCATGGAAACCACCGTGAGTTCCCCCGTTTGATCACGTCCATACAAATAGAGCGAAGATTTCCGGTCGATTTGGTTTGCTACTTCCCTCCCGTTAGCATTGCTTATCCGATTCCCACAGATAAGTTTCGGAATCCTCACCTCATTCGCTAAACCGTACACTCTTGAATCATTAGAATAGACTTTCGCCATCATTAGGGCTCTTTATCGGTACGCATCTTGAATATCTACAATTATCCATTGTCACAGAATCCTGAAGGCGCCCAATCATTTACCCCACTTTCGACCGTCTTCTGCCTAGCATTTAACATGGATTCATTCCTGTTCGTGGTTATCTTAGTTGAATCATTTTCATCCTTCTTCATGCTCGCTTGCACATCTTGTTTCAATCGAGACTGCTTAAAACCTGCTCGAATCACGTTTAAGTGAATCTGAAGAATTGAGACCTTAGTTTCTTTTCGGTTGTCTGATATAAAGGGAGATGCGGTTACTGTTTCGGAAATGATTTGTTTGGCCTAACAACTCATCCTCCATACCGTCGTGACTGATGTCATATAAAGGACCAGATGAAATTTATCTGCTGACTGTGAGATAAATGTTTTAGTCAGCGCGATTTTTGACGTGGTCGTCAAAGCGCCCCGTACCTAATCGATACGTTGTACTTGTCGCGTGGAATCGCCTGATCAGCACCGTATCTTTTCATTTCAAGTTACATGCTTGCTGGTGCTCATCATACTTCCTGAATCCGTTTTCATGCCCAGATCAGGTTTGCCGGTCGCCGAAAAGCGGATCAACTTTGACTTCCTTTTCGATCATTTCCAGGGGCTGCACGCAGCACCAGAGTAAACAAAACACACACCGGCTTGCGGACAAGCATAGTGCCAACAACACAACCATAACCACCATATGGGATAGGTGAATTGAGATACAAATCGGTGTGTAAAGAAGATTACACTGAACAATAGTAGATGGCAAGAATAACAAGTAGACGGAGACGATTCAGGCAGTGGAGCCCCTGATCCATATTCACATAATGTCCGCCACTAATCGAATGTACGGTGAACAAGGCAACAGATTTGGAGTTACGATTCCCACTAGTTGAATACAGTATAAGAAAATTTGTGGTGAGCATTTATTCACGACAAAGCACACTACCTAATAGGTAACGCAGAATAAACATGTCAAGAATGAAGACAACACCATCTACATAATCTCTGAAGAATGATGGTATTACAGCGTGATGCAAATCAAAGCAACCAGTCAATCGGAGAAGAACAATGGATGGAATTCGATTGCACGATAGTAACAAAATACCTCGAGAAATCGACCGTTCTTATTCCTTGGGATTTAAACCATGTCATCCCTTTCATTTTTGGGATCAGTTGTGTAAGGGTACATTAAAATTTCCGGCTGATAAGTGGTCACCAAACTGGTTCACTCACCCGGACTATGTTTAACAACTTGGAGTTCACGCCGTTATTCTGTTATACAAAGTCATCTTTTTGGGGATGCGTACATCTATCAGTCTAGCCACTCGATACTAACAGGTTGATTCATACTTGTTCAGTTCCATTTTTTCCTTTTGCCTACATGTTGTCTTCCATTGCTGTTAGATAATGTCGTGTGTGTGCGTACGTACCAATCCCCATTCACATCAATCATATGACTCAGGCTTGTCAAACACTAAAAAATTTAGGTTTCTCATTATCTTGCTTCCAACCTGGTTGCAGTATATGCGCATGAAATCATCTAACAGTTGGGACTGCCCTCATGCTCGTAATCCACCCATGTCCATCTGGTTATTCACACATTTGTTCCTGTCACGTGCCTTATGATGATGTCCGAATTTCCTTGTTGATGGCCTCCCGGTTTCTGCTTGCTAGCTAGACTCCATCAGTAGTTTAACTGTCATGTGTCATTTGATTTATATTTCCGCCTAAATATATAACTGTGTGCTATTCCAGTCTCTCACGCACGGGATCCCTACGGAAACAATCTCTGCCTCTGACAACTTGGGGCCACAAAATGTCTAGGTTGGTGTCTCTGTCTATTTGGGGAAGCATCTGGTCTGACCCATCGGCGTCGCTCACTGTTCTCCTCGCTCGCTCCACTCCAGTTTGTTATTGGTCGTGTGCGCATGCGTGTGCTCCGAATCACCGTCTGTTTTTTGTGTCATATTGTTTAGCTGTTGTTGTTTTTCGTCGTGTACACCAACGATTTGATTGAACCGTTCTCAACTCCTTTATTTTGTTTGCATGTGTGTGTAAATTTGTCAATTTTTGTCGGTTTGTCGTTTTCTCCTGCGAAGCAGTTAACTCTCTCGGCTTTGGTTTTGGTTCGTTGTTGTGTCCAAACTTGGCTAACTCACAGGCACCTGCCTTACGCCCTCACTCCTTGACGTAGCGTAATCTGCACATGTGCTGCTCATCCTGACTGTAGTGTTCATCTTGATCAGTTGCGTTTCAATAACTGTAGTTCTGTCCACTTCCAGTCGTGTTTTTTTAGACGTCTTGCTGCCAGTTATGCAACAATTTTAAATCAAACTTACCGGTTTCGTTCGCGCAGTAACGTCTGTTTGGCGATGGCACGTAACGCAGTAGCTATCTGTGATCGGGTGGCTTATCATGAACCCAAATAGATCTCAATTTGCTCCTTGGTTATACTATTGATCACTCGTCGTTACCCAAATCTATCGCAAGAGTCTTCACTTGTGTTTCTTGGGTTTCGGAGATTGGCTGCATGTGGTGACTTAAGCTTGATTGCACTCCTTCCATTTCCACTTGTCTGATGCCTTTTCCCTTTTGCGCACGTATGTGCGACCCAGCTCACCCGAAAACCGTATGCGCAGGCGATTTCGCTATTTTTCCCATATACTCATGAGTTTCTTTCATTCCCACACGTTTTCTTCTCTCTTTATATATTATCTCGTCACAGATCGATTGATCAGACAGATCGGATGATGAGTCCTACTGATTTCGGTCAAGCTGCTTACCCTCTGGACGATGATAATAATCTGAGTCCGGAGGCGGTAAACAATTTGATTCGCCAGACCTCGGAAGGAATTCAGTCATTAACTTGTGGCATTTCTAGCGGCATTCCGACCCCTCAGCGTCGTGTGTCTGAGAGTGCTGTGATGCACTCACCAGCGACTTATTCGCCCCGGATTGACTCGCAGCTATCGCAACCGGTCGGTCGAACGGAATCCCCCGCAGCAGTACTTCGCACGATGCAACCAAGCAATATTATCAGTTCGCCTGGAAGCATTCAGTCTCCACTGTTGGAGCCTTCACCCGTGACCAATTCGTATGCCGCACCCCCAGTTCCCCTCGGTGATCCCTCTCA